CGTCGGCCTAATTTATTTGTTTATGGTTGATATAATTTTAATGTCCGAGACTAAGTTAATGGACAGCCTGAAGTTCGACTTTGCAAGTTTATTAGTCTAGACGTATTGTTTGGAGAAAAAACACCCAAGTACTATTCATTCGATTTATTTTCAATTTTATTGTGATATCATATCGTACGTGTCCTACAGCGTCTTAGACGACTATCAACGCTGGTTGATTGGATGTGGTCAGACCTTACAGCCTACGACTCTATCTCTCTCTCTGTTTCCTGAAGCAAGTCATTTTTTGTCATTTAATTCCTTTTTTTTTGCCTGTTTATATTATCATATTTTAATGTCGCTGTAATCATAAGTTAAAGAGTTGCATGCTCTTCTGCATGTGCTATGTCAATCTTTCCCAACATTTTGTTGCATAAATTATGTTATTCATTGTGATTTGAAAAAATATTACCACTTTGTACAAAATGTTCATATTGTTACTGATTATAATTGTATGAAAAATGCAGAAATCAATAATTCTTATAAAGTCAGATCAAATCAATAGTACACAGGTTAATATCAAAGGCGTGGCGTTGAATAGAGTAGGAATAACATCATAGTATACAAATATACATTGTCTTGAGAGGTTCTGGTAAAAACTATGCGCAAGAGGTGACTCCAATACATAGTATTATATCCTGCATCAAAAATTTGTTGGCTTTTGATTGGTTGAGAGCTCGTCACATGACCAGAAATATTTGACCTATTTTTAGAAAGTACTATATGAGAGTATTTTGGTTTACTATTTGGGAGTTGAAAAAAAAAATGTGAATTTTTTTTTTGGAATTGAATCAATTTTTGTTTACAAATCTTAATTTAATGAAAACAAAATATTTTAAATCTTTTTAGATAAAAATTGACATTTTTTTTCTTCTAATTTTTTTTCTTCCCAAAGACTCCAAAAGTACCATTTGCTTCGGAGCTGCGCCCCTCGGCAAATGGTACTATTGGAGTCACCTCTTGCGCATAGTTTTAACCAGAACCTCTCAAGGCAGTGTATATTTGTATACTACTTGCTGAGGGGCGCAGCCCCGAAGCAAATGGTACTTTTGGAGTCACCGAGGCCCATAGTTTAATCAGTACCTCGAATAGAAGGCATGGTATATTTTTTTAATATCCTGCATCAAAAATGTATTTTTAAAAAAAATACCATTTTGGGGGAAAAAAAATTAGAATTAAAAAAAATGTCAATGTTTATCAAAAAAGATTTAAAATATTTTATTTTCATTAAATTAAGATTTGAAGAACAAAAAAAAAAAATCACATTTTTTCCAATTCCCAAATAGTACTCTCATATTGTAATGTTTTATTTTTATAATAATATTAATAACTATAATAGTAATAATAATAATAACAACAACAAAAACTACAACTGTTTTTTTAATAAAGTGCTTTACCGGTTTCAACCGACCAGAGCGCTTACAGTTTTATTATTACCTCGGTCACAGGATTTAATGCCCATTCCGCACATTACAGTGCAGATTCTCCACTCCCTGGGGAGTATTCCAGCTACAAGTGAACATGAGATAATTCATGTACCTGGCCCCTGTCATAGCAGTGTAATCTATAGTTATTGAGGAGGTATACGCTACTGGTTCGGGGCATATACATCAATTACAATTCACACACAAAAAAACACTTGAACGTTGTACAAAATAATCAATTTTAGTCGAACTTTGACATGACTCAGTGTGACCTCTATTCAAACTCCGATTTGCCAACTATATATGCGCATGCGCAATGCTTAGTCATATAGAAACTACAGGCTCATTAATATTCATATAATATTCGTAGTAATAATACAAGTAATTATTTTACATACATTATTTAAAATTCGATAATCGAGTAAGACCGCGGTTCCACTTAACTGTTTGTACATTGCCGTTCATTTTTGTTCAAATATCTTAAACATGAAATATCATTCTGAGAATAAACGAGGGGATCGCGGAGGGGATATACAATAAGACTTTCGATACATATCTTGAGAATAAAGATACCGCCATCCATCTCGCACACAGAGGTAGTACATAATATTTTGATGGCGCATTTCCAACAGTGTGATAAAAATTCATAATAAAATTCATAATACCCCAGCGACCCAGTCACACAAACGAAACAGATTAACAGCAGACAGAATAGACAGAACTCGATATGTCGCGCATAGACTGGCGTTATAATTACGACTGATGTATAAAAACCGATTATAAACCGACGCGAAACCGATCAGTTCTCGGCCATCTGGGGTCGACGAAGGTGACGTAATTTTGATCGGTCTGTCGTCGGTTTGTCGTCGGTCTCGTATCGGTCTCGTATCGGTGTCGATGGTGTGATTGGGGTGGTGTAGCAATGCCTTGAATGGGAAGACCAAGTACAAAGAGATGCACGCACCAAAGATTGGCTCACAATGAAACTCGTGTGAGTCAAGATATAGCCTGCAGACATTCGCGTAGAAAAGAAACAAGTCAGGTTGAACGTGTCAATAAAGCTCCTAACAATGTAGTAATAATCTCTTTCATGATACGAATGAACGAAAGCGTAAAGTCATAAACCAAGACCGAGGTTTTGTAATTTAAAAAAAATCACAAAATGTTTTAAACAAGACTGAAAAGATATGTAATTAAACAAAAATTTAAATCGAGTGATATTTAAGGAAAAAATATTGTAAAGATCGATCTAGATTCCATTAATTCTTTAGTTGTTAAGCTTCACAACGCGACTCTCTTTGATATTAATGTTGAATACTGGTTATGCAATTTCATTGTGAGAAAAACTTTCTAGAATTTGGTCCTGCAGTAAATTTTATTGCGTGTCATGAGGTGCAGCAATCGTGGAATCTGTAACAAGCTGACTAAATATCTTGCTGAAAATCACAAAACATCACAGGCATTGGGCACAAAACATGAGTACATAATATTTAAGAACATTAAAGAAAAATGAGTTTGAAAGGAATATTGCTGAAATTATTATTCTTCATCATGGGATAAAAAAATTAGAACTCAACCTTTTAAATGAGTCTTTTAAAACTGAAGTCGGGTTCTGCTCAAGCTCAATCTATCTGGAAGCAATTCGTAGTAAACGATTATGAGGTAAGTAAAAATTGTTGTATAACTGTGTTTCTGGAGTCACCAAAATAAGCAGAAATGAACTGAGTTGTGCTGAAAAGGACTTACATGTGACATGAGGTTTGGTTAAAGCTTTTTCAGCTTTTACTCGTTATAATTCGAACTGGAGGGCATTTGAAGAGCAGTTTGAAGCAATTTGAAGAGACTTTTTTTAGTGTGATAGTCCTCCAAACTGAAATAAAAGGTACAAGGAAGCTCACAAATATATTTCACCTAAGACCTCGAACTTCTCTTTAATCCCATCCTAGTCTTTGATTCGTGTCTGTGTGTGTGTGATGCTTTCATCAATCAGCTGTTTTACCCCACCAGAGGCGGATCCTTTTGTTCCTTTATCATGGAGTCATGAATGACACGCCATAGTTCATCAAATAATTAAACAAAAAATGACAATCGAATATTCAGAGCATTCATTCCTCTGTATGTATATTTCCCCTTATCCATCTTTTCAAAATGTGTATTTTTTTAAATCTTACTTTAAATTTGGCTTGAGTTCGTTTTTCAATTCCGACTAATTTTTAAAATCCACTCACTCATCTTGTGACTCTATTTGCCGAACCGACCAAAACAATTGAATAAAAAGCTATTTCATGAATGATGTATATGAATGATTTTCAGACCCCCACCCCACCTCCACCACTCCCATTAATTTCAAATAATGCGTTGTTAATGTGTTTAATTAAAATTAATTCAGTTTTTACCTATGTACATTCACTAATGAACAAACTAAAGGGAAATTATTTATTAAAAAAATGATAAGTCGAACTTCCTTTTATTTCCAAGAACAGTATACAAAACTAAAACAAAAATGAGGATATTGTAAAAAAAAAAAAAAATTATAAAAAAAAGAAGAAGAAGAGAGATGATAAATACCTTACATGTCCTTTCCACGACAACTTAAACAAAAGTTAGGATAATTTGAATTGATATCAACATATTTACTTCAAATCAGTAAGAGCAAATTCTACAAAACTGAAACTTTTATGATTTAACGTTTGAATCTCAAATGTAGTAATGGTAAATAAGGAGTCAATTCATCGAATTGTGTCAGCATGCAGTGGCGTAGCTAGGGTCCAGAGACTCCATACATTTAGGATCGAGGCACTAGCATCAAGGGTGGAAGCGGCCCGGTCTAAACTAGCTAAAGTTCATTAATTATTATGAGAGTGTAGGAGTTGGTCGTAGTGTCTTCTGTTCACGTTCCCTTTCCTCCTCCCCTCTTTTCTTCATTTTTAATTGTTTTATTCTCTGGTTTCCCTTTTTTCACTTTCTTTTTTTCCCCTTGCTACTTGATTGTGGGGCATATTGCCTCCGTGCCCTCGGTATCTACACAAGTCAGCATGTATTTTGATTGACTGATCAACTGAGGTTCAGAGAACGAAATCAAGTACACCGAGGTGTACTCTTCCATTTTTTTTTATGTCCTCCCGTGGTCATTAATTTTAGTGTACTCAATTAAGACGTGTTTTTTCCCCCACAGAAATAATGACTTCAATTGTAGATTTCACTCGTTCACATGCTTTTTCGTAATCCTCGTTTTAAAAACACACCTTTAAGTTTAACCCTTCTCTCCAACCGTCTCTCTCCTTTTCTTCTGGGTCTACGGGACCCTAGGAGAGGACGTGAAAAAACAAACGAAATATAACAAGTGAAAATCCCTTCAGCCATTCACAGGGCAGCCTAAGGCTAAACATCAATATTCATGAAAGGCGGAGTCTATTATGCATGAGGCATAGGTCGTGTACACTCCAGTGACAGCGATGACAGATAATGTAGGCGGGGCTTAGTATACTACGATGAGTGTTATACGCTTTATGCATTGACTCAGCTGTATGAACGTGTAAAACGTATTTACCTAGGGCTCTGTGTGACGGGATAACACTGGCGCGAATCTATCGGCATTCAGTACGCCGTATCTCTGCCGGTGACGAGCATCGACTACTCCTCTGTCTCTCTTTCTCTCATTCCCAAGGAACCAGTGGAATATTGATAACTCCCGACCATCGCAGTCTGGTACATAAATGTGAGATTTTATAGTCGATCTTCTCATCTTGTTCCCAGCTTTTTCTGCAAGTAGATCATCTAGGTTTTACCCATCGTCGAGGAACATTGGAAAGATCAGCACAATCCAAGCCATCTAGCGCATGTCAGTAGTTTTCTCGCAGACGACATCGCATCTCGGTGAATTTATGCTCTAATACCCAAATCGGATTACGCGCTTTATTTCATCGTTCAAAATCATCTCCTAAACAACCCCTCGCTCCATTTCTGGATTAATCTTTTTAAAAGGACAATCTTCTCTTTGATTTAAGCCAACTGAACGCTAAACACACAGCACCATGCAAGGGCAAAAGGATACCACGTTCACCAAAATATTTGTCGGCGGCCTGCCGTACCACACCACGGATAAATCTCTCCGTGATCATTTTGAGATCTATGGCACCATCGAAGAGGCAGTCGTCATCACAGATAGGACGTCGGGAAAGAGCAAAGGATACGGATTTGTAAGTACAGAATATTTTGTTACAAGGCATTCATTTTAAAATTTTCATTTCAATAAAACGGGTCAGGCCACAGCATTTCATCTTCCACCGATCATCATTATCAGTCATATTGTTACTGTTAGATGTAGTGCTTGAAAGGGGTATAATATTGTATTGATATCCTAGTAGGTTTTATTCGGTTATATAGCTTTTGTTAACATTATTAAAGGTAGAGGTGAAAACGACGCTGAAATCGCAATATAATACGACGAAAACACAATTTTGTACGCTTTGAAATAATACGTATAGCCCTGGCATTATGTTGCCGTCTCTCTATTTCTTTTGAAATAAGCTACATTGATTCGGAAATCAGCAGTTTAAAAAAACACGAATTATCAGGTGTTACAGAAAAGGGGATGTTTATGTCAGATGAACATACACGTTTTTTTCCGCTAATGTACGTCATTGGATAAACTGCAGACTTGAAAACGTCATAAAACATCGGCATTATCTCTAATTTTTATAGATTTATTGACATCTCTATAAGAGCTGGTCACGATCACGGCACCAATATTTGAAGTAATTTGTATGATTTCCAGCTATGAGTGAAAACACCCACTTCACACACACAAACACACGGATGTAATATTGAGCAAACAGCTAAATTATCCTATCGTTTATTTCCACCAAATAGTTTTTCTCTCGGTAGTTTTACCTTTGATCTACATTCACATGGGGCAACGGGAATCTCTACGGGTTGTATTTACATGCTCCTTGCAGCTGCGAGTGCTTTTTGGACCCTTATCGTTACATCAACATGTTTAAATACTTAACATAATGATCACGGCATTATCTGTACTACGACTTTGCCCGGCTACCCTTGATTTTATGAACGAATTCGTCACTTAATAGGTACCGGTAGTGCTATTAATTGATAGAAGTCGCGCAGAATATGTTACAACATGGAGTATACTGTAACCATTATGTGCATTGAGTTGAGTGTGTTATGTCGCAGACTCGCAGTGCAGTGCATGCATGCACGACGAGCTGCCGGTGAGGTATAGTTCTATAGCGTCGTTAGTAACAATAGTTGCCTACCATTAAAGGCCGCCTCCTCTTTGAAAATAAATTAGATCGCCTATTGAGTGGCGCTGTTGTTACAGCAATTTTTAAGATTTAAAGTGAATTTCTTAATAATGTATGCATTTAGTTGTGAACTTACTTCGGAAAAAGAAAGCAGGGTATTTTGTTAGCACATTTGTCTTGATATAAATGCCAGATACGCTAATTCGGGTATTTTAAAAAGGTATTTCGAACTAAAGGAAATTTGAAAACGGCCTATTTTTACTCTTATTCTTGCTTTCAAATGACAAAAAAAGAAACCCAATTTGTTAATTCATGAGGAGACCTCTGTTGAATTAGAAACCCTCTTTTAAACCAGGGAAATGAACAAATTCCCTGAACGACTGAACAAGGGAGGTATGAAGGACTGAAATAGATACGTGAGCTTTTCCTTCACCAATATTTACTTGTGATAAGACCGAGTAAACCGGGTAATTCTTTTTATTCCAAGTACCATCCGACCATTGACGTAAAAGATAACGCTGTTCTAGACAAGATAGGCCTAAGTATATCCAATCTACAGCTTCAGATATAGTGAAGCTGAAGTTAATATAAAAAAAAAAATCATAAATATCTTTTTCAGAAGTCTTCTAACATTTTCGTTAAATTTTTGCCGAAGTAGGGTAAAAATCAAATGTTCAACGCTAAATTAATAATTGTCTATCTTCATAACGTATAGGTCTAATTTAATGCAATTTTTGTTTGGGGGACAAACATACTCTGTGGACTTTGTAAAATTAGCTCTTTAATTTCATGATACGTGTTTAAGTGGTTTTATCAAACTCGAACAGAAAATACTCGACGTCAAGAATTTATGCAGCATTCTCAGAAAGTTTAAACTAAATTTTTCGACTCTATAATACTGAACAGCATAATGACCAAATTCAGATTCCTCAATTCCATGGCAATTATTGGTTATTTTGATAACATTTTACGTGCGAATATAATGAAATAGATTGGTTCCATAAACATCATTTTGACAATAAACATGGAATGAGCTTTACGCATTCACGTTCGTATATTGTTCATCCTGGGAACTTGTCATAAAAATCTCAAACAAAATTTTGGGTAAATTCGAAATCGCGCCTTTTTTTATTAGGCCCCTGGATATGACGTTCTCTCCTATGTATCTCTCCCATTGGTCTGTATTTTATCTATCTATATCCCTCTCTCCCCCTGACTTTGTTTTCGTTTTTGATGATGACAGTACTTATATGATGAGCTTTATCAGTCTATTCATGGGCTTCTATTGCGCGTGCCATATGAAAGATGTGATCAGTAGACCATGGACTTTACCTACTGCTGCCGAAACACAATGACGAACTCGTTCACGGTACAATAAACAAACAGTATGGAAAGCCGCAAGGGAGCGAGGGAGAGAGATGGCGTTCAATTCAAGATTAAAGGGCTACCCAACCCTTGTAAAAAGTGCATTTTGTACGAAAGCAGAAAATACGATTAACAGAATGGTGAAATTTTGAACTAAATCGGACAAATAATAAGAAAGTTATGAATGTTTAAAATATGTGATCACTAAGTCTATAGGAATCTCAAATTGGCAGTTTGGCCAGTGTATGACGTAGTCGCGGATAACGCTCCCATTTTGTTGTGGAAAAATGTCATTACTGTGCTGTATTTCTCCTAAACGCCTTCTCTATTGAGGCACTACCAGAAATAGAATATGGATAGCATATCAATATAGGTCCTCTGAAGAGAAAAGATCCTTATGACTCTTGAGTCATACATTTTTGATGATTTTTTTATATTTTAATTTCAGTCATTTTGTTTGTTGGAACATTTGGGAACGTTGTCCTCCACTATACATCACAGATACATTATCGATTCAGTCAATTTGAGAGCCCATACTTATAGTGATTCCAATTTATAAAATCAACTTGAACATTCACAACGATCCAATCTTTCTCCTATAATGTTCCTGCTTCCTCTACTAGTTCGCTGTCAAGGTTGGATTTCCAAATTCAAAGGTGTACATGAGGTAGGGATAGTTGAGAAAGGAGTTAGGGGAATCTTACGTAGAGAGGATGACACAGGAAGCAGTAAATGTAGTTCGCTGTCAAGGTTGGATTTCCAAATTCAAAGGTGTACATGAGGTAGGGATAGTTGAGAAAGGAGTTAGGGGAATCTTACGTAGAGAGGATGACACAGGAAGCAGTAAATGTCGTAACGTTATAATTATTGGAGCGGTCAAATGGATAGGAATGAATAATAATCGAAGGAAAATACAAAATTATATATTATTATGGGGTTAGAAAGTATGCATGAGAAAGAAATAAAGATATATCTCATCGAGAACAGAAATGTTAAATTAATATGTTCCTTTTCAAAGGTGAACATAAATAGGCACAATAAGTTTAATGAATAGAGAAATATTTCCGAAGATTTTCGTGGATACCAAATAAATGAAATTTACATAATTATGGAAGAGGAAAATAATGTATATTAGTTGTACTGGTAGATATGTCTAGAAGGCGACCATGATGAAGAGACAGAGAGGCAGAAGAAGACTCAGGAAGAAAAAAAAGAAAGAAAGGAGGAGAGATAAGTAGAAAGAGAGAGAGAGAGAGAGAGAGCGAAAGGTGCAACAGATATGGGCTCCCCATGCGGTTTGAAAGGTCATAGCCAAAACCATTGGCATCCCCGGTTGCAGGGATTACTGTGTCGCTATCATGGAATCGAAATGTTCTTTTTCATGGATGCGTTGGTCTCGCCTACTTCAACAAATATCAAAGAAAATATGGATAAAGAATGGCCAAATGACTGGTAATAAAATGAATTACAAGAACATCGTTCTTTGACTTTTACACTGTGCATATTTGGCTGGGCTCGAGGTTATAAAGTTTACAGAAGAGCAGATATGAAAATGATCTGCGTTCCAGTATGATTTGCCTGAACTCAATATCGACTCGGTATTAAAACGCATTATACTCGCCTGCATGCTTAGGAGCATAGAGTATTACGTGCGTGTGTGCGTGTGTGCGTGTGTGTGTGTAAGAGAGAGGGAGAGAGAGAGAGAGAGAGAGAGAGGGAGGGGGAGAGAGAGATATTGCTTCAAACAAAAGGTTATTTTGATGGCCATTTTGATTGATGCTGTAAGGCAATGAATTATTATGTCAGCTATGATTGTGTAACATCTGAGAGTGACATGGCTGACTGACAGAACTTAGAAGATGTTGAAGAGCTCAACATAATCCCCACGTAGGGACTCGAATCCCACATGCTTAATTCAAGACAGTCGTCAAACCACTCAACCAAGCTTTCCTCGAATGAAATTCATTATGTAATCAGACATTATTATGTTAAATTGCAGAGAGTAATTTTCCAATTCAAATTCTTAAAGAAAGTCTCTGGAACAATAAAATCACAGCATGGACCTACATCAAGCGGAAAAGATTTGTCATACTTTGCAACAATTTACAATTTGAAGAGCCTCAAATTAAATCAACTTTGAGATCAGAAAGGCCATGCCTTATCGGACCGATTATCGTCCATTTTGTTCACCTTTCCCCTCGACGCAAACAAATATTTGTCCTTTCACGGATAATTCCTTTGTTTCAATCCGATATTTTGTTCCTATTCCCCCGGCGCTGTTTTGCTTGGCTATCGCAATTTCATATCTCAGCGCGTCCATCTCATCCTCTCGCTGGACTCCGGCACCCCCGTGGCTCCGGCTGGGTTAACCCCTGAATGACACCCCGGCATGGCCATAAATGGTATCGGAGGGACTGTAGTTAGCCTAGAATGAATGCTATGTACTCAGGTTAAATGGAACAACTCGCATCGGACGGAGTGTAGTCTTCGACGTGGAGACTCGTGGCAGGATCGTGGTGATGGATATGATCGAGCGAGGGTGTTATTTCCCCCTTTTCACAGGAACATCA